CAGTCTTCCCTGGAAACTCGGATCATAAGAGATCCTTGTGTGTCTCAATATACGGATCTACCAAAGAGGAGTTTTGTAGAACTGTGTAGTGCGCTTTATTGAAATAATCATCATCCGTACCAATATATGTTTTCCTCCCTAGTGTCCCATTTCCGCTTAGTCTCCCCTCATGTCTCGATTCAGGAACACCAATCGAGTCAAGGTCGGGAATAAAGTCAACACATAACTCAATGACCTCTTCTGTTCCATAGCCCTTAGCGATGCTTCCTTCTGGGCGAGCACGGTTGTGAACATATTTCTTCAGGACTCCCATGAATCTCTCTAAGGGGAACATGTTGTGTAGGAACACAGGACCGAGAATGAAAATCTCCTTGACTAGGTGAACTAGGAGGTGTGTCATGATATCAAAGAAGGAAGGAAGGAACACCAACTCAAAGTTGACGAGACATTGAACCACATCATTCTGTAGTTTAGCTAGATCAGTTGGATCAATTGCCTTCTGAGAATTGAGAAATGCACATAGCTTCATGGTGGCTAGACGTACATTTGGAGGTAGAATTCCTCTTAATGCAACTAGAAGTAATTGCGTCATGAGAACGTGACAGTCATGGGACTTTAAGTTATAGAATTTCTTCTCTGGCATATTTATAATACCCTTTATATTCGAGGAGAATCCAGATGGTACCTTGATGTTGTTTAAGCATTCAAACATGATTTCCTTCTCCTCTTTGCTTAGAGTGTAGCTGGCAGGACGTAAGTAATGGCGTCCATCATCTGTCTTCTCTGGATGCAGGTTGTCTCTTTCTCTCAAACAACGCAGGTCCTGTCGTGCTTCAAATGTGTCCTTAGGCTTTCCATACACACCCATGAAGCCTAGCAGGTTCACACAAAGATTATTCGTCAGGTGCATCACGTCGATCGAGCTGCGGACCTCTAGGACTTGCCAATAGGGTAGGTCCCGAAATATGGACTTCTTCTTCCACATGGGTGCGTGACCGTTAGCGTCGTTCGGAACAGGTTGGCTTCCATGTCCTTTTCCAAAGACGACTTTCACATCATTGACCATATCGAGTACATCCTCACCGGTTCGGTTGCGAGGCTTGGTCAGGTGGTCTGCCTTCCCTTTAAAATGCTTGCATTTCTTTCTTACGGGGTGATTTGTAGGAAGAAATCGACGATGGCCAAGGTACACGACCTTTCGACATTTTTTCAAGAATACACCTCTAATATCACCAAAGCAGTGTGTGCATGCATTATATCCCTTGTTTGACTGTCCTGAAAGATTACTTAGAGCGGCCAATCATTGATTGTTACGAACAACAATGCTCGCAGATCAAAGTGTTCCTGTTTGTACTCATCCCACACACGTACACCTTCTTTATTCCACAAAATGAGAAGTTCGTCAATAAGTGGTCTCAGGTACACATCGATGTCATTGCTAGGTTGCTTCGGGCCTTGGATGAGCACATGCATCATAATGAACTTCCGCTTCATGCATAACCAAGGAGGAATGTTGTAGATACTTAGAGTAACAGGCCAAGTGCTATGACTACTGTTCTGCTCTCCAAAAGGATTGATATCATCTGTACTTAAAGCAAACCTTAAGTTTCTTGCGTCATTTGCAAACTCTGGGAATTCTCTGTCGATTGCTCTCCACTGGGACCCATCACCAGGGTGTCTCAACATATTATCTACCTTACGGTCTTCTTTGTGCCATCGCAATAATTTTACATGTTCTTTGTTTCTGAATAGACGTTTCAAGCGTGGTATTATAGGAGCATACCACATAACCTTGGCAGGGATTTTCTTCTGTGGACGTTCGCCCTCAACATCACCAGGGTCATCTCGCCTGATCTTATACCGCGATGCATGGCATACCGGGCATGCATCCAATTTCTCGTACTCTTTGCTGCAGTGCGGGATGCGATCATTAGTACATGCATATATCTTCTCAATTTCTAGCCCCATAGGATGGACAACTTGTTTTTTTCAGTAGGTAGTGGCGGGCAATTCATTGTCCTTCGGAAGCATCTTCTTTTGGATTTTTAGTAACTCTCCAAATCCCTTGTCGATACACCATTCTTTGCCTTTCATTGCAGCAATTCTAGTGTGGTTCCCAACTTTTTACGCCTGCATCACAAGTTGGGTACAACAATTTGTTGTGATCTTCTAGCATCCTTTCGAACTTGATCTTCTCCTTTTCACTTTCACATTCTCTTTGTGCGTCACGAATGACCGACAAAGATCATCATGTTGAGCTCATCTTCGTGGCTACCTCTTCTTTAGCTTCTCCCATTGGCAAAGTATCATCGAAGCACGCACCATCGGGAATAATATCATTGTCGTCCCATTGTTCTTCTTTACCTTCTTCCATTACAACGCCGGTTTCTCGTGCCGTCCAACAAATATAGTTTGGCATGAAACCCGACTTGAACAAGTGTGAATGAAGAGTCCTTGAGCAAGGATATTCCATCGTATTCTTACATATAGCACATGGGCAAAGCACATGAAACCGTCGTGTTTGTTTGCCTCACCAAGACGTAACAAAAGAATGCACGCCGTCAATGAACTCTTGGGAGCGGCGATCAGCATTGTGCATCCAATGCCGGCTCATCTGCATTACATGACATAAATACCATATTAAAACCTAGATCATAATTAATTATTTATACAACATGTGTGCCACCACAAAAGGTACAAATTTATGAAAGCATCGCTACAATGTAGACAATCCCAACTACCACTAAAAGAACTAAAGCTAAAATACATTTCAGGAGCACAAGGATTTCGCGACCAATCTCAACTAAAACAGACAGATCCCCCGATTGTGCAACATCTTTGGGCTTCTTCGGCTGGATCACTGCCTCATTAGCCGCCAGATTCACTTTGTTGTGCAAGATATTTTTGCACGAGTTCAACATACTCTTCCTCCCAGTAGAAGCCTAAACATCGTCCACTGCCATCCCACTGAAATTAAAACAAAAAATTGGAACTTTAATCACAACCATCATGAAAATAGGTATAAACTAACCATAATCATTAAATACGATAAAATAACTCACATTGCGATTCGGACACTTGTAGAAGATATGATCCTTGTTGGGACCCTCCTTCTTTACTCGGTACTCCATCACAATCTTCGTCTCATCACGACACTTGCCGCATGGAATGAGAGGGAGGCCTGGCCTAAGTCGCTTTGGAAACCCATGAGAGGCCGAGGACCCGGAAGCAGTTGCCATCTACCCTCTATACTCATTTTTTAATACACTATAAATTTCTCATTTTATAAACAAATAAAATTAAGAAACTATAAAATTATCTATATCTCAAAAACATGTTTTAATAAATAACCATCCGTACTAGTTGACCTTGTTTACGTGATCATCTCGGCGAGCATTTCTCCACCGGACGGCACCGTACTTGGTGAAGGAAGAGCTCCGATTCTACGAGGAAGGAAACACGGTCTTCCACGACCGTTGCCGCTCTCCCTCGTAGAATCAAAGCTTCTCCTTGACGTCCGTTACCGCTTGGCAGAGAACATGCTCGTCGAGATGAACACGGTCCGCAAGTTCAACTAGTACGGATTTTCTATAATTTTCTAACTATTTTTTAAGTTTATATTTATATATATACTACGTTTGGGTACGGTAATTGACAGACTACTGCGACGATATCGGGACATATGAATAAATAACCATCCGTACTAGTTGAACTTGCTTACGTGATCATCTCGGCGAGCATTTCTCCACCGGACGGCACCGTACTTGGTCATGGAAGGGCTCCGATTCTACGAGGAAGGGAACACGGTCTTCCACGACCGTTGCCGCTCTCCCTCGTAGAATCAAAGCTTCTCCTTGACGTCCGTTACCGCTCGGCAGAGAACATGCTCGCCGAGATGAACACGGTCCGCAAGTTCAACTAGTACGGATTTTCTATAATTTTCTAACTATTTTCTAAGTTTATATTTATATATATACTACGTTTGGGTATGGTGATTGACAGACTACTACGACGATATCGGGACATGTGAATAAATAACCATCCGTACTAGTTGAACTTGCTTACGTGATCATCTCGGCGAGCATTTCTCCTCGTAGAATCAAAGCTCCTCCTTGACGTCCGTAACCGCTCGGCAGAGAACATGCTCGCCGAGATGAACACGGTCCGCAAGTTCAACTAGCTACTTTAACCTTCTTTCATGTAAATATGCAAGCTTGAAGTGATTTTGAGCTCAAATTGCTTACAAATGAAAAAAACCACAATAAAGAACCATATATATATATATATATAGTGAACAAAATGAGATAAGACAATGGTGAAAAATGAGAGTATGAGATTGGTAACCTTTACAACTGAAGAATCGACGGAGGAATCGAAGAAATCGACGGAGGAATCGAAGAATGGATGGAGGAACAATGGAGAGAGGGAGGAAGCAAGAACACTATAGTGCAGTGAGCTTCAAAATGTGCTGAGCTCGGGCTCGGGGAGGAAGAAGGAGACGGCCGGGATATAAAGGGGGGACATTTAGTCCCGGTTGGTGGCTCCAACCGGAACTAAAGGTAACTTTCCAACCCCGGGCGCAGCCACGGCCCGGTAGTAGACATTTACTCCCGATTGGAACCACCAATCGGGAGTAAAAGTATACCTTTAGTCCCGGTTGGTGGCTCCAACCGGGACTAAAGGTCCCCTCGCCACCTCTGCTGGCCTTGATAGCCGTTGGGCGAGGGATTTTAGTCCCGGTTGGAGCCACCAACCGGGACTAAATGTATCTCTATTCCCGGACGCAAAAAATGCCGGAACTAGAGTCTATTTTGACCGAGGATCAAAGATCTGTTCTCTACTAGTGTGTCTGTAATAATTACCCACATGTTCAATTGTTAATATGGAAGCACTACCTACCTGAGTGTGCGAGGGGGGGTGCACCTATATATTATGTATGTAGATATACACGGACATCAATTCCATCGGTGGAATTAGAACGCCTATAGCTAGGGGCAGCCATGCCACGGGCGCTGTGCCTTCTCCTGGTCGTCCTAGTCTGTCGTTTCCATCTGCCGCCGCTGATGATGATGGCCGCCGCGGCCACTTTCCCCGGCGTGATGGCACGGTCATCAGATGCTGCACCACAGTCGTCGGACTGCCCTAGCTTGTGCGGCGACGTAGAGATCCCCTACCCATTCGGCATCGGCGACAACTGCTCCTTGCACAACGCGTTCACCATCACCTGCAACACTAGCTTCAGTCGTCCTCCGAGACCATACCGGGGCGACTTCGAGGTCATCAGCATCTCCGTGGAGACGGGCGAGCTGCGCGTCTTCTCCCCCGTCTCCTTCGTCTGCTACAGCAAGTCGTCGTCCAGCAGCAGCACCCCCAGCAAATCGATCGCCTGGTCGTTCCGCCTCCACTCGCCGTTCCTGATCTCGACGAGGCGTAACGTGTTCACGGCCATCGGGTGCAGCACGCAGGCGTTGCTGCTGGGCAGGAAGGGCTACTTCACCGGCTGCACCACCACCTGCCAGAGCCTGGATCTGGCGGCTAAGGACCGCGCCGAGTGCACGGGACTCGGGTGCTGCCAGGCAGCCATCTCGGGCAAACTTGATACGATGCAGATCAATTGGGACCGCCCCAGCTACCTGCCGGACAATCAAGCATGGACGTTCAGCCCATGTAGTTACTTCTTCGTGGCAGAGAAGAGCTGGTAAGTATAGTACTGAGAGCTAATAAGGACTTTTTTCCTTCCAGATTTCACATATTTTCTGAGGCTAATAAATTTAAAATACATATGAATTAATTATTTGTTTCCAACCCTATCCTCAATTGTACTCTAACGTCTAAAAAAAGTGTCATTTTCACTTCACGAGAAGTCAAACATTTTTAACCTTGACCAAATATATATAAGACAATATTATTATTTATTATGCATAATTAGTATTATTAGATGAATCATTGAATATATTTTCATAATATAAACTTATTTGAAGATAAAAATATTGCTAATTTTCTCGACAAATTTAGTCAAACTTAAATTTAAGAAATTTTGATCAGCACGAATTTTATAACGACATTCTTTTTGGGACAAAGGAAGTATCTTCTATTAGGTAGTGACATGGAAGATATAGGCTAATAATTAATTCACAGCAATATGTTTTTTTCTAGATCATATCCTATGGCACGTTTTTCATTAAGAAGAAGCAGAGTTTGTAAGGTTACACAGAACTCGCAAGTAATCCAAGGATTACCAGCACAATCCCACCAACACAAACAAATAAAATACGATGGGGGAGACCCTTCACCTCAACACCCCGACCGACTAAGCCTATTACATGAAGATAACAACACATTGGTAGCCTCCAGTGTAATGACAACCGCAATGGCGACGAGACGAACAATATGGTTTTTTCGCTCAATTTGTATATGAAGTGAGTTCGCTCACTTTATATATATATACTAGTATAATTGAGTTGTTCGGGATTAATTAGCATTTTTGAAAGCTAGGTACGTCTTCAGCCGACAAGACCTCGTTGGAGAAGAGAGCTTCAGCAGGCGGGTGGGAAATAGGACTATTCCTCTGGTCCTTGACTGGGCCGTCGGCAACAGGTCCTGCAATGCATTCGCAACGGCAGTTTCTCCCTGTGTGAGCACTCACAGCAACTGTGTCAACGCTACACAAGGGCCTGGGTACCTATGTCGCTGCTCAGAGGGATACAAGGGCAATCCCTATATCAGCGACGGATGCAAAAGTTAGTTCATCTATATACCCCCTCTGTTTTTATTCATATGTCGTAGGTCTGTTCTAGGTCAAACATTTATATCTTCAACCATTGATTTTCTAAAAATTATATAGGGTTCATGATATAAGATCTATGGTTTTAGATTCAATATGAAAAACACTTTCATAATATATGATCCATAAGTTGTAAAACCATAAGAATTTTTTGAAATGGATGATTAAAGATAGTAATATTTGATGTAGGATAAATCTAATATGAAATGTAAAAAACAGAAGAAGTATATAATTAAAACTACCGACAGTACTACCTTACCATCTAGTAGTATATGCTTATGCGTTACTATTACATGCATGGATGATGCAGACTAATGCACTTATTGCGCATGCTACAAATGGGTCTCTTATCACATACGGAGTGCTTACAAAATTAAAGCTACGTACCATGCTTACCATCCATGTTCCTTACAAGTACCCCTACATGTCATTATGTTTGTCTGCACTATATGTTTCCTACAATACTTAGTACAAAACTAATTATTAATTAGATTCGACCTGCCTGACTTTTATGAGAGAGAAAAAATAAACAGTCCAAGGATAATAAGAATATATGGAACATATATAGTTTGCATATATATAAACCGTCCGTTTCCCGCTCGGCGATGCTCTTTTCCGTTTCGATCGGCCATCCATCCGTCCGTGTCATTTTCATATTTCTCTGTTGCACGTACTTTTTTATTTTCTTTTTTCATGAGCCGTATGTCCACAGCATGCAAAAACATGTATATGGACCCACTAGGTTTCATATTGCCATGAGTTTGAGACTTTGAGTCCCACATATATATCTATCTATATCCCTCCTGCTTTTCTAATCCCATCTTGATAATAATATTAATATCGTGAGGAGTTTCTTTGCTTTATTTTTTTTCTGTTTTTATTTTTCTATTTGTTTGTCCAAAGGGCATTCAATATGGAGTCCAATTGCAGCTCGTTGAAGTTAACCCATGGGAAAAAAGAAGAAAATAAACAAAGAAAAGGGAAGGGAGAAATATGCCTAATAAAAGGAAATGTATGGATGAGTGTTAAAACTCAGCTTGACAGTTGTATAAATCTCTACATCAATGGATGTCTCAAAACAAAAACAAAAACTTAGAAACAAGATTGGAGAACACCAAGCTCCGGATCGAGTAGACTAACGGAGCCATGCTCTTGCCATCGACTTCTACACAACGAGGAACACCTCCCCCATCGACCTCAGTCGGAGCCACGGCAAATTGCCCCACAAAGAGAGATCCAAACCGACGAGTACACATTGGGCAAGATCAACACGCCTTACCACCTCTTGACCATGAGGAGAGAAGTGCCCCTGAAGTGGGCCATGAAGTCAGTCCTTAGCAGAAACGTAGCATGGGTTACAGGCCTACAGGGGTGGTGGCATGGTGCAGACATGCCTGCGGTGGAGTGCACTTGGCACGTCAAGAACTAAACTCTTGCCAATTTTAATAGGATAAGTTACAGATTTTTATGGGTCCTCAAAGTAAGTCACAAAATTTGATATTTAAAACACAGAGATAGTATGAAAATCAAGGTTATAATATATTATGAGTAAGTATTTTTTTTATCTTTGCAACGAGATGAAAAAAATCTATCAAGGTCGTTGTTTAATTCGACATAGGTCTAATAGGACATTGTCAATGTTAATATTATACTAGATGTCATGGTCCTCGTAGATGTTTACAGCTTTTAAATTTTATAGAAAGTTTAATAAAACATTATATATATATATATATATTTATATATATATATATATATGGTGCATTTTGGCTACTTCTGGGAGTAGTTACTCCCATCTTTAATAAACCATATTCCGTACGTGTACATACTCATTTATCAGTTTGAGTATGTTTATATTCTAAATCTTACTATGTGATTTTTTTCAAAATAGTCTATATTTTTTAATATATTATTATAATATTATTATAGTAGTATATAAAATACTCCTAAGTTTAATCATATACTCTTACTTGTATACTTGACATACATACTACCCTAGATAGCATGTACGATCATATACTCCATCTACATACACTTCGTCGGCAGTGGCGGAGCCAAGATGAGCACCTCGAGGGGGGGGGGCTAATCAATAGAGATTTAGAACAAATGTCGAAGATTAATAGTGAAATCATGTTTTTTCTACAGTAATAACAAGCCAAAATCACCCTCACGGGGGGAGGGGGGGGCATGGATCCGCCAATGTTCGTCGGGTCATATACATCTAAATCTAGAGATATACACATGGGAGTAATTACACCCTGGGTGCCAGCAAAGCAATGTCCTTGGACTAACTATTTGAATATCAACTTCTGTTCACAGATATTAACGAGTGCCTTATTAATAATACATGTGGCACGGGTAGCATATGCCACGACACGCCTGGTGGTTACAAGTGCATATGCAAATTCTGGTACAGACCTTCTGGTGCGGGATGCCAGCGCATATTTTCTACCTCTACAGTATGGAGAATCATAGGTGGGCATCCCTTATCCATCACCGTGTTACCCTCTGCATGTATTTTTCTCAATCAGATAGTTTGCCAGTTTAAAACCTCATCGTTTGGTGCGAAAAAAAACACTATAGGTATAAGAGGGTTGAGGGTTCCATGTACGACTACTTTCTTTCCACCCGTTGATACCGATAAAAACTAGCTAGACCGTTAGCCCCTGGAGGCTTTAGTACCGGTTGGTGACATCTACCAACATAATGTCTATATATTAGAACTGGTTGGTAACAACAATCAGTAGTCGTCCTGTTCGTTTGACTTATAAGCCGTATTTTTTTAGCCAACGAATAGTATTTTTCTCTCACAACAAATCAGTCAACAGTACTTTCAATCATGGCTTATCAGCCAAACGAACAGGGCAATATATCAAAATTGATATAAGACGGAGTTTGCACTTTTTCTTCACTGGACTAAACAGCACTAGCAGAGCTTAGTGAGGGCCATCCCCCCCTCCCCCCTAAGTTAGATCAATTCTTAATGAATGTCTTAGGTTTACTACTTTAGTTGCTAATGAAATATATATATATATATATATATATATATATATATATATATATATCTTTTTGCATTTTACATCATATTGGTCCCCTCTCCATTTATGACCAAGCTCCGCCATTACTAAATAGGCTTAATTTCCTCCAATTGACTCATGGCCAAAAAAAAGCTTTGTAATTCTTCAAGTGTTCGGGCACTTCTTCTAAATGGCCCTGTTTCCACGTGAGGTTGACTTAAGCCTCGCTCATGCAAATAGCCATAATTTCATAAGTGGTTAACTTAAGTGACCGCCTGTTAAACTCTCTATTTCCAAAAAAAAAAGAGTTAAATGGACCGCCTGTGAAAATATAATACCTACGTGGGGTCTTTTAACATTACCTATAAAATAGGCCATGATATGCTTTTTGCTCCTGCAAGCTGCTCCATCATTTCCAAAAGAGCAGCACGACATGGCACGGTTCTAGACGGCGGAAAAAAGAGTTACATATATGGGCGGTCCTCAAATTTGTCCGGGGTATTATTTAGGTCGGCAAACTCTATTTTAGGTCCTTGAACCTATCTTCGAATGTCATTTAGGTTCTAAACTTTCGAAATCCTACTTTGAGGTCCTAAAACTTGTCTCAATGTGTCATCTGGATCCATAATGTGTCACTTTAGGTCCTAATAGACCCGATGTACTCAGCACATGATGCCACATGCCACAGCTTTGGCATTGTCGTCCCCACTTCCGTCTTCCTCTTCCATCTGAGGAGCACTAGCTTTGGCATTGTTGCCACGACTAATTATGATGCTGTGGTCTTTGATGTGGAGAATGGTGAAGGAATGAGTTGAGGATATGGCGAGTTGGTGACTGTGATGAGATGGCTCACTAGATTGGAAAAGCGAAGAGAAGGGGAGAGCATGGAGATGGAGGTAGAAGAGAGAGGGGAAGCATGTAAATGGAGGGCTAGAGATCAACACATGTGCTAGTTGGAGTTCGTTTGGATTTAGATGACACATTGTGACAAGTTTGAGGGTCTAAAAATAAACTTTTGAGAGTTTGGGATCTAGATGACACATCAAGACAAGTTAAGGTACCTCTTAAAATGATTTTGAAAGTTCAAGGACCTATGTGACACCACGAGACAAGTTTAAAGACCGCTAATGCATTTACTCGTCCAAAAAATTCAAAAGTTGAAGTTGAATTCTTTTATATCTTCATTTTTTTGAAATAGTTGATTATATGTTAGTCGTTAGTTATTATTTTTGTATCCATATTCATTCTTATTTATTTACGGTTCAACGTAACTGCACATCATTCTCTCTTTTTTTCTGTAATAGTGGATGTTAGAGTTGCATGGTAAATAGAATAGCATGGTTGGATATGAATCTTGTACATCTGTGTCTGCAGCAACGTGTGTTCTCGCTTTCCTTATATATCTGGGGATTAGGGAGATGAAGAAACGAAAGCAGAGGAAATTTTTCAACAAGAACGGGGGCGAGATACTGAAGGATGTGGGCATTATCATATTCACAGAAAGAGAGCTGAAAAAGATGACAAACGGCTACAAGAAAATCATCGGGGAAGGCGCCTTTGGCAAGGTGTACATGGGAACAAGAACAACAATGGGCGGCACCGAACAAGTCGCCATCAAGTGCTCCTTCGCAAAAAGCAAGCAACTTCGCCATGATGAGTTCCGGAACGAGATCACCTTCCAGTTTAAGATAGATCACGCGAACGTGGTCCGCCTCATTGGGTGCTGCCTCGAGACGAACGTCCCCAAGCTCGTCTTTGAGTTCGTCCCCAACGGAAGCCTCTGCGACCTGCTCCATGGCGCGAGGCGTCAGGAGCTCCCGCTGCCGGAGCGTCTGCACATCGCCATTGGCGCTGCCGAAGCTCTCTCCTACATGCACTCTCACGGTCACCACAACTACGTCCACGGGGACGTCAAGTCCGCAAACATTCTCCTCGACAATGACCTCACGCCCAAGGTCTCCGACTTCGGATCGGCCAAGCTCGTGTCCATCGTCAACGGGTATGAAAAGTGGTGTGTGTCAGGGGACATGAACTACATCGATCCCACGTACATAAAGACTGGCCGCTTCACGGAGAAGAGCGACGTCTACAGCTTTGGGGTGGTTCTCTTGGAGCTCATCACGAGGAAGACGGCCAAGTATGATGAGAGCAACAGCCTCCCGATAGACTTCGTCAAGTGCTGCAAGGAGCAAGGGAACGGAAGGGCAATGTACGACCGAGAGATTCTTATGGCTCATCATGCTCAGGAATGCCTCGACGAGATCGGCGCCCTTGCGGTACAATGTCTAAAGGAAGATGTGGATGAGAGACCGACTATGGCACAAGTGTTGAAGCAGCTCGAACAAGTGAAGGTAATAGCTTGCGGAGGGTCGTCATCATGCTAAAAAGCACGTACTCCTATGTATGTAGATGCAGCAAGGTGTTGACTCAGAAAACATGGTTTATATTACGCAAAAAAATGGTTTGAATTATATTTAAAGCTACTTCCTACCTGTGTATGTACATTGTAATAGTCTAGACTATGCAATTCGTTGTACGAATAACTATGCGTGCTGTCCTGGAAGATTTTTTTTTTCCTTGTGTCAGTTTGGTGCCAGTACTTATTCAGATTACCTTAGGAAAATACTGTGGTAGTGAACTGTGAACTAGCTAATACTCTATGGTGGGTTTCTATCTTATACTTCATCCATTCCAAATTATAAGATGTTTTGGCTTTTCAAGATACATAACTTTTACTATATACTTAGATATACACTATGTCTAGATACATAGCAAAAGCAATGTCTCTAGAAAAGTCAAAACCTCTTATAATTTAGAACAGAAGGAGTATATAGTTATATACTGATTAAAGATCTTTAATGGAGCCTCAATGTTAATTTTCACGAGACACGCTAAGGAAAAAGATAAAATTTAGAATTTTTCATAATAATTAGAAACATCTTTGGCCTTTAATCTGGTGGATTCTAAGTTCTAACCATCGTCACAAATAGCCATCGGATCTATTCTAATTTCTAAAAATTGCCAACCTTTACCATTCACTACAACAAATCCTTTAATCTACGATGGATTCTCCAGATGGAGAAGCACGTGTTGCAAAGTACTCAGGGGTTAAGGTTGGATGCTTCCCTCATCACTCCAGTGCCCTCCACTGCACCAGCACACTCCCTAAGTCCTTAGGCTATCCGAAATCAGAGCTAAACGTTTTTCCCTTCTATCTCTTCTTCACCCCCATCACCTTCCTTTACCTCTCGCTTTTGTATGTTATTGAGCCTGAACGTGAGATAAAAGCAAATACACTCAGGGCCCTTTTAGAGAATTGATTTCATTCTAATAATTATAATTTAGTCATAGATTAGTTAAGCTAATACAATTTTATATGGAATATACTTGTATATTATTATTAGCCATATAAGAGACATATTTTATATGTTGCATTTCTATTGTAGGGAAGCGAATTGAAGAATGTGCTATAAGTTGGATAGTAGAAATATAGCATGATTGATCTATAAAATCCATTTCCATCTCTCACCCTATAAATTTGAAATAGGCTTATTTGTGAGATTGGAAAAGTTGTGGAATACCAAATTCCAAGCAAATAGTCCAATCTAATAAGTAGATTCTAATTCCTCTAAAACGAAGGGATCCAAACCGCCCCTCAGTGATTTCTTCTCATTTTGTATCTTGGGTTTTCCTGAAGCAAGATATATATCAACCATAAACTTTCTCCAAGAATATTTGATCAAGCATATTAATAAGATCTAAAATATTCACTTCTCATGGAAACATTACCCCCACTCCTTTCTAACCGATCAGGGCAGCTCAGTCAATGAACGACAAAAGTTAAATTAGATTTCACCATCAAAGTAAGAGATGTGTCAGAACATTGCTCTTGTATAGTTGTCTCAGAAGAATGTACAGTGAAACGTGAGTACATGACGTAAAGCACAAATTACATCAAAGGGACTGCAGAATTCGTGTAAACGCCCTATCACCAACCTAGAAATAACATATTTACGACCTCGCTGACTGACTATTTCTACCTGGAGTTGTCTTCAAAGGGGGCTTGGGAGGTGCTGAGTGCTGACATAGTGCATCTTGTAGACAGGCACCCTCAAGATAACCTGCATGCAAAAAAGACCCTTTCATTCTAAGCTGGCCCTTTTGGGCGGCTACATTTTTTAGTGAGTGGAAATAGCAGATGGAAAGTTGAAGATTCATCACTAGAATAAAAGGTTGCACGCAGCATACCAGAAGAGTCATCTATCTGACTATTGAAGTATGCCGCTTTTCTGTTTATTTTTATTTCATACTACAGAATGGAAGTTGCTGATCCAATATAGAATTTCCTGTTCAGGCAAAACTTTGAGTCTAGCTGAGAAAGTTTCTGTAATTACCTTGTGTCAAGTTACCATGTGCTAGTCATATATTGTTCACTTGATTGGTTTGTGGTGGGTGTAAAATTCCTCAGAGCAGCAATGAGCACTCATTCTGTGCTTCTTCTGGATCAGCATTGAAGATCTGCAAAATCCACGAGGTGAGCACCTGTGCCACTTCCAGCCTTCAGTTACAGCTGGTTCAGCCTTTGTTAATCTACTTGGCCTTCTTCTTTTTTGCTTTCTTCTTTTTCTTTTGACCATCTTCTGATTCCCGTTTGAAGATCGCCAGGATTTCAATGCTGTGTTAGCAAATTTCATTTAGTGCGACCAAAGTAGACAGTATACACATCATAAACTAGATAGGTTCAGTATGAACCGATGGAAAAAGTTCTTTTCAAAAACTTCAGAGAGTACAACACAAAGGAATCATCGACTTCACTACAGAAAATTCAAGTCTGTAATGACCCAAAACAGCTGCCAATTAGGATTCAAGGTAGTGCTTTTGAAGTTGAAAAGGCTAACTTTTGTTCTTGCAACACCAAAACTTGGTGAAATGTATAATGATATTTGTTGCAGTAAAATATGCTTTGGTACTTTCTAGTCAAATATGCCTTGGTACATTCTAGTCAAGGAGCAGAAACAGTTACCTATCTGTGCCAGGGAAGAAGTTAAAAGCATGAGCATTCTCCAACTGCCAGACCTTGCTGGATATCAAGCTTTTGCAGTCCTGCACAAGAAATGATTACAGATATCAGAACCGTCACATGACTGAGTTCCAAAGGATAAAGATTGGCGGCTGCTTTGAAGTTGCATAAACAAATGAGGTTCTGGGTCTTAATGAAACTTAAGCACTCTGTACCTTCTTAAAACTTTCCCATCCACAGCTAATGTATATGAGAGTTTCAGGCCACGTTTCGCTGCCCTCTTCAGTTGTTGTATTATCAACATGAACTGCTGCCTCCCTTGCCCGTAAGATCCATGGTCTCTTCTCATCCTTAACCTTTGCAAGCGAACTGAGTTCAGAAAATGAATCTCTTATTAGTAAGGTTACCACCAGAAGGAATTCAAAATCCAAGAGAGGAAAAAAACAGCACAGATGTTGTATCTTATTGCTGGAAATAAAAGCAAGAAAGTACAGAAACAACATAATACTATTAGCTACACCTTTTAGCCTTGTATGCCTTGCACTCAGACAAAGCAACTTTCTGTAAAGCGCTGATAACAGATGGGTGCAATCCTTTCCTGGGAGGATCCACAATAACGACACTAGACCCTTCAAGCCAGTGAACAGGTTCCTGGTGCCATGACACAGAATTACATATTCCAGTGAAAGCCAAAATATATAAGATATAACCACAGTACAAATACAAAATTGATTGCTTACAACTGAAGCGTCAGTATTGTGCCAAGTGATGGTGCAACCCAGGTTCGCTGGAAGTCGGCTTGCTGATGTCTCGAAAGACATCTTTGACTGTTTGTTAATCTCAACACATTTCACAGACCTGCAAGTAGAATGACTTTTTCATGAAAATAGCTGGATAGACAAGCATGCAACCTTAAGATAATATGCTGAAAGTAGGCATGTCCAGTTGGATATGGACAGCACCAAGCTGCAGCATGAAGTCCATAATTTTTTAATAGATACCAGATTTTTTTCCCACAAATATTTCTTAGGAAATCTAAAATTAGTTTGTTTTGTGCTTACAGCTCAACCAAAAAAGGGTGGCTTAGGGCCAAATCACATAGGACAGGACCGAGACTTGGGCTCTGGGCTTTGCCCTTATCATCCCAGGCTTTTGCAAATCAAGTATAGGAAAGGCTTAGCAAGGCCTACGATATCAGTACTGGTATTTGCTTACTTAGCAGTCTACAACTAATAATACATATAACACCTAATAATATAACACCATGTCAAATGTTGTCAAAAGATTTCAACCAAGAGACCACATGGAAGCAAAAGCTCTTAGAATTAATGCATGCATTAAGACACTGCATCAGGTTGTAAATCTTTTAGTATGCAAATCCATTGTATCTGTCCTCACCAGCATATGTGAATAACATATGTTCCTCTTAGCATGCATTTATCTGCTCACCTACATTTCCTTGAAGCAGCAACTGATAGGCCAATAACGCCAGCCCCAGAGTACAAATCAACAACTGTTGAACCACGTGGTACATACTTGTTCAGCTTATGCAACAAAGAGTTAAATGACTGCAAAGAAAACAAAGCACAGTGTGATAGCAAGAAAACTTTATGAGAAAATTTACATGAGATAGCAAACACTAATACACTATAGCTTCAAACACATTTGAGATCCTTGCTCAAGCACGCAACAAAACAGGTGGCGCATGGAGTTCTCGGGGGTATCAAGTAGCTTGCAGCTAATTGAATTGGCAAGAAAATTTTGTCATGGTGAAATTGTACATGAGTAAGGACAATTTAAGTGCACATACCAGAGTATTAGCCTGGCCAAAGGTACAAGGATCCAGAGAAATATCAACTCCCCCATAACGCTCCCACAGGTCCCTCTCCCCCTTAAGATGTCTCCATTTATGCCCAAAAATTATCTGCAGAACGACACATTGTTATAAGGAAAGAAATAAAACATGTTCCTTACAAGATAGTGTGGAGTTGGTTGCTCAGCAGATCTGGTAGCTAATCTTTGACCAAGTTAAAAGTAATAATGAGAAGGAAGAACAACATGGTCGTACACATACATTCTTCCTCCTATCTGAAATATAAGTCCATCTAGGTTTGTCCAAAGTCAAAATATTATAACTTTAATCATCAATATCTAAATTTTTATATAGATTGACAACACAAGTTTGGCATTACTAAATTCATTATGAAAAGTACTTTCATCATATATAACTCTTTTCATTTAAGATAGTACATCTTGTGTAGAGATTGCTAGTCAGAGTTAAAACTGTTTGACTTAGGACAAACCTAGATGGACTTGTATTTCGGATTGGAGGAAGTACAGTTTGCATACATGTGAAGTAGAATGTAGTTATCCTATATATGACAAAGAAAAGTGATCTTGGTACACCTGCAACACCAGCCCCACCCCACTGCACCTTCACCCAAGGACATGAACCTACTCCAGAGGAATTTAGTACTTAGATGCAGCATTGCTGCTTATATGTGGGGCAACAATGCCTGAATCTGTTCATCTGCTGACACGTGCAGTGGTTACCACATGTCCATATGGATTATCGACTCCTAAGTCCTAACTTCTGCAAACCTGGTAATCGCTATGCCAGTGGTTCTAAAACAGAATCTCAGCATCACAGTATGTTTTATTGTCTTCCTTAGTTCCTTTGCACAAAACTACAACTATTTACAGTAGCCGTAATGATAATGCCAAATGAGTTGTGTATTTTTTACAAGAAATAATATAAGTACAGACATGGTTTACATCCACAAGAACTATGACATGGATATCTTACGTTGCTGGTTGATGTCTGAAAATTGGCCCATATAGAATGGATCAGATGAACACTACTTTTTGGCCCACCATTTCTCCACAAGTACTGTCACAAAAGGTATATTCACAATGATTTAGTGATACAGCGTGCAAAGCAGTGGAATGTGTTGGGACAAAGTTCCAATAGAAATATGAAAAGTACTCCATTGTTGCAGAACCTCAGTTTCAACAACTTACTTCTATCAATGAAGTCAGCTTCTCTCATGCTCTGGGAGCGCTTTCGTCTCTTGAATTCCAAACCAATGAAACTTGAACTTTCCCTGCACGGCACTGATATTTTCTATCACTTTGATCATGGGGATCGGCACATGAGCAGTTGAAGAATTAGGCTAACCTTGCTCGTATCTTTTATCAACTGGAATAGATGTGTTATATGTTGTCACGGCCATCTGAAAAACATGGCAACACAAATAAATTCCATTGCAGCAGGGAAGAACTACACGCGGTAGGCATCTGCACTCTCTATTAGAATATTCACATTCACACTTGAGTCTGTCAGGTGTACATGCTGGGCCTAGAAAATTTAAAGTTCCATTAAAATGGTTATGTGTTATTTTAAGAAAACTAACAATTACCTGAACATATCTGAGTTCACCAGTTCCAGCATCTTCATCAAATGGCTGAATACTTAGCTCAGTTATACCTGCAAATCCAATATATTAAGCCTCACTGGTCAGACTGAAGACAACACTTCTGCACATCCATTGAAGCAAAGCATGAAGCAACAATAGTAACATACCTTGCCTTAGCATCTTAACAGCAGCATTAATGCTTGGGTGGTGAGCTGAAAAATGGTGAAAGAAGAAACAAGGATTATAAATTGCAGTTACATACTATGGCCCTGTTTGGAACAAGGATTCATAAAAATGTAGCATACCAGAAGTGACACGAGTATTGACAACTTCTTTACATAAATACTTCGAATTCATGATAAAATAAATTATGACAGCTAACCTCTGCACTCTGGAATATCTATAACAACATGCGTCCCTTCCTGGTATAAACCAATCAATGGGTTCTCTGGTGTTCCACGAACAGCTAACTTTGCCCGGCACCGCCATTGGAACTGAAAACACATTTGTCACATTTAGCAAGCTAGTTGGTCAAATAATATACAAATATGAGCATGGAAGATTGGACGAAATGTTAGCTTCAAAATTAGAGGTTCTATTCAGTAATTAGTAAACTACAAACTTCACAACTAACCTAACCACGAAAATGAGGCAGAGTATAACAAAACGTCCAAACAGCATATGTAACTTTAAGGGAACTAGGACGGGATGCAGCTGGAATTTTTAGAAGCTACACAATTAGATAGGGTACACGTACCAGCCTGCCCCTGCTGAAGGTGAAATCTCCGACCCCGTGCCCCTTGAAGAAATTCGCCACCTCCTGCAGCACCGGCGGCTTGTCGAGGTCCACCTCGTGTGTGCACCCTGAGCACCTACGAATTGGGCTAACAGAAAATTAGTTCGATCACAAGCAGGAGAACTGTGTCTGTGTGCGGGTGTCGGCGGAGCGCGAGACGCACTTCCCGAAATGGACGCAATCAAGGCAGGTGGACGACGAAGACGCTGCGGAGACAGTGGCGGGAGGCACGGGTGTGGATACGGCCGCTGGTTTTGGCGCGGCGGGCTCCAGGCGGCGCGGTGGTGGCGTCGTAGCAGGCGGAGGCGGAGGAAGGCGGACGCGAGTGTAAGGTGGTGGAGGCGGCGGGCGGACGTGGGTGGTGCGAGGAGGAGGCCGCGTCGGGATCGGGGTCGCCAGGCGCGTGGTGGACGGCGTCGGCCAGGGAGGCAGCCCCGCCGGGGGAGGCATGGCTAGCCGGCGGTGGGGGTGGGCAGGCGGGAAGCGAAGAGAGGGAAACGTGGGGAGGGGATAAGGAGGGGACAGAACGACACAGAGGCCTCCTCCTCCTCTTGGATATTGGAGCACAGATATTTTTCAATGGGCTGAGTCTGCGTTGGGGGGCCCAGGCCCGGTATTATTTGGCGGGATACGGCCCGCAACCCGGAGTCTTCGAGTCGGCGGCTCCCAAGTCCCAACATGAGCCGTGAGGTGACAGGACGCACTCCACCACCAAACCGAGGAACACGACGCTCAGGAATCGGAGAAGCAGCGAGGAAGCTGAAGGAGGACAAGTGCATCTAAGCAGGATTGAAGCATGTAAGCGAGCCAATCTCATCCGCTGCTGCTCGTATGCGCAATCTGTGTCTGTTATTGACCCCCAAATTGCTCTGTTGATGCTTTGCTCAAAATTTTGCTCGTGCCCTTTTTTTTATCTGAGAAAAAGAATTCTGACTTTGATGCGGTGGGGCGTCGGTTTCAGGAGGGCGTCGATTAATCGGCCGCCAACGCCGAGCGCGGAGGAGGATAGGGACAAGGAGCCTTCTCTCGCGGAAATCATTAACATCAAGGTAATGACCGGTACTGTTCCCCATCTCGCTGAAATCGACCGAGGAAACCCTCGATCGTAGGTGTTTTCCACCTCCTGGCTCGGGGTTAGAGTTCTTGATGCCCACAAGCTAGAGTTCTTCAGCTTATGGTTGGTGCTCCAAGTGTGTAGTCTCAGTTAGATTTGGTTAGGGTTTGGGCGTTTGGCTGTACGAGGGGAGAGGTTTTGAGGTAGTCGAAACGAGTAAAACATATTGGTGGTTTAATACTATTGGCTACTGCCGCTGTTGTTCCTTGGGTGCGGTAACAATGAGGTGGGTTTTGGTTTGTGAAGTTGGTAGAGAGTGGGGAGAAGGAGAAGCTAATGGAGCTCCTCCGTGAGCGGCTCGTCGAGTGCGGCTGGAGGGATGAGATGAAGGCACTCTGCAGGTTTGACTTCTCTCGTATCAATCTCAAATATTATTCGTGCTGAGTGTATGCTTGCTATTAACAAATTATGTTTATTGATTCATAGTAATAAACACATGCATCTTAACCTTTGCATCCAATGATGCTGAGCAAGTGCTTCACATTCCTAAGGTTCTGATATTTGCATTTTAGCGTACGAATTGTTTGCAGTCCTTGAGAATGCATGATGCTTTTGCCCAACTTCTCAATGGTCCTTTCAATTCAACTGCCTTTGATGATTGCAATTGAATGTATGTGAAAGGCACACGTTAATCTGTCAAAACCCCAAACCATTGTTCTATCTTGCTCAAATGTGTAGCTAAATTCTGAAGCAGAAGTAGTTTTCTCAATTCCTCGTGAAGATAACCTGAAGGGGTTCTGTTGCTTCCTGATAAATTGGGAATTTTGTAAAATTTTATGCAGCTCAAGTTGGTTTCTCATGGAAACTACTTATGGCTGGTTCTCTCAAATTTTCTAGTAAATAAATAATTGCAATGATTTTACTAGATGGCTACTGCAGTTATTGCAACCGATGCAAGTGTGCAACATATGCAGTTTGTTTAAATTTTTCTCTTTCTTTTTCCTGCAATTATATTCTTTTCGAATGAATCTGTGTTTGCAAAAACAGGTTCTGAGTAACCCACTAAGCACTTGCACGTTAATTTTTTTTTTACTGACAGGATTCAGCTGAAAGCAGGTTCTTTTGCTTTGTCCAAATTCTGCGCTAAATGTTCATCGCATCCAATCAAATTTGATCTAATTCTGAAGTCTTCAAAACCCTAGGCATTGGAGATCATTTTGCAGTTAGTCACTTTAATTGTAGCTAACCTCAAGCTGCCTCGCTAGAGCATTTTGAAATTTGTGCTACATTACACACTCCATAGGTTGAGAATAAAGATGGCGTGGTTTTAACTGGATAATATGTATCTTTCCCAATGCTCATCATTCTTTTTTCGATGAATCTCTCTTTTGTCCTTGTGTGTACTGTGTAGGGCCTATGCAAGGAAGAAAGGAAGAAATAATGTGACGATAGATGACCTCATTCATGTTATTACTCCGAAAGGAAGAGGTAAGTGGTCTTTTCTGCCCCTTGATTTCTTTTTCTGATTGCAACTAGAATTCTTTTCACAAATTTCACTCTATGTCAAAAAAATAATTCACTATGTGTCTTTGCATGATTCGTGTTTCTTACTATGACTAAACCTGGAGCTAAACAAATAGACAATCCATGAGATATTATGATTGAAAGTTTCTCATTTTGTTTTCCTTTTGCCCCATGAAATGCTCATTGTTGGGCAGTTTTACACTTCTACTTTCCTGGTCGAGAAAATTTGCTCATCTTTGTACTGGTCCCTCTTACACTGCTCTCAATTTATTTCGCATGTGAAATAGCATCAGTGCCTGATTCGGTGAAGGCAGAACTCCTGCAACGAATCCGGTCCTTCCTTATGTCTACCACACTTCGGTAGTCATTTATCGCGACGGTTGGAGCTACATGTACCATTGTACGAACATTAGGAAGTCGATCTTGTTGGGGACCAAGGGTGCTGGAAAACAATGCATGGGGCAATATTGTGAAAAAAAAAAGAATCAATGTGATCTTCATGACACTGTCAACATGTTCCTCGTCAGACAGGTGGTTGTCGTGATTTCAGGTGTACCAAGACAGCGTTGTAATCCTTGAATACTGTATTGTTGAAGGAACCTTCCACCTTGTAATGCTGCATTGTGTTATAATTGCTCAACTGATGCTTGATTTCACAATTAGAAAACAGAAACGCAATCTTGATATAAATGATAACACTCATGTGCATCATGTGAAACCTGAAACCTCTGACTGGGTCATCTCCAATGGGGCCAACGTGAACAGACGGCCTGTTCGTTGGTTGGTTTCTGGGTTGATAAGCTCGGCTGGTCTTGGGTTTTGTTGTGAGAGGAAAACACTGTTGGCTGGCTGAAACTAATAAACGAACAGGCTCCGTGGATGCTATAATATATTTTTTTTCGCATTTGTTGGTTGGTTCGGTTGTCTGCGTTGCCATGTTTGATCCGATGGGTTCATGGCCACTGCTAAGATTCACTGTTCTGCCTCCATCATGTGAGTCTGTGTCTAACACCAGTTCCGGTCAGGCTTGCATGTTCAGAAACAAAAGGCTCATGGCCACTGCTAAGATTCACTGTTCTGCCTCCATCATGTGAGTCTGTATCTAACACCACTTCCAGTCAGGCTTGCATGTTCAGAAACAAGGATTTAGGCTCTTAGGCCATCCTTGTGGTTGTCCCTGAAACACTGTTTGGGAGTAGGGACAGAACTGAAATGGTGATCACAGCGCATTCTAGCAGTTAGCCTGTCCTTGTCATAAGCTCGATCAGCGCTACAAAAACCACGAACCCTGCATGCTGCATGATTCATGACACAGTTGCCAAATAAAAAAGATATTTTCACTTTTTTAGGAGGAAACAAAAAGGTCCACTTGGAATAGAATAGAGCAATGAACAACACATTTGTCTGGCGTCAATCAAGCAAGTGCCAAGAGGACATCTCAGATCAATAACATTGTAGGAGCTGTAGAAAGGTATTGTATCCTACATGCCACATGCCCTAGCTCAGCTGGCTGTTGACATCTGAAAAGTTATATATATTTATATATCCGTAAAGATTCGATAAGATATATGCACAGGTAAGGACAATGCGGTGCCCTCGCAATTGATAACATGGTATGCACAGCATTTAACGAGTACGGCTATATTATCCACTTGATTACTAAGGATATATATATAGTACTCTTAATACTCTCCCCTTCTTTACAGTAGCTTCAGCGTTCCCATCGGGTAATATATCGCACTTAAGCCCCACTATCAAACAGCACATGGCCTAGGGCTCATCTTCTGCCCCCTCTCACTCTCATCTAAGGTCAGGCTATGAACAAAGCTCGGCAGGCAACAGCGTCCGGTGTACCACGTCTTCTCCTTCCGGCTCTTGGCGACTGCGGTCGGCGTCGGTACAGTGCTACAAGCGGAGCTGGATGTGGATTCAGACACAGGCTTCCCATCTGCGGCAACAGATTGCAGCTGCTGCTCCTCGTCGGTGCTTTCTTCAGGGCCGTCTTGCATTGCCTCCTGCAGGAGCTCAGCTAGCTTCCTCCGTCCAGTTGGAGAAGGCTCCGGTGATTTCGAACTGTACGTGTCTGGTTGAAAGATGTTGCTCATCACCGTCTGCGCTCTGGGCTGATAGATGGGTGTGCTTCCACGAGATGGAGTGAAATCTGCATAAGAGCACAACTTATGATTATACAGCAACTGAAGCAAATCACGTGTGCTGATTTGAGATATCTAATTGATCTACTATTAAACTTGGGTGCATCAGAACACCCCTAAGAATGTCGAAGTCCGTAAATGAATGTGTTATGTTTCAGGATATTGCTAGAGTGATTGATAGAGGACCACATGGGATAGGTTATGAAGCTAAAGGTGGGGGTCCATGCCCATAACTGTTAGACACCGAGGAGTATGATAGCGCCCAAAGACAAAATCAAAGGCATCGACTTTTTGTTTCAATAGGCAATCAAAGTATAAATTAGGTCCCTTAGATTCTAGAGACAAATAAAAGCTGTATCATCAAGGAACCTAGCACAGCACATGCATTTTGTGCGTAACAAGTGGAACAATCCACATTGCACATGCTGCTGGTATAATAATAGGAGAACCTAAAAAAGGGAATGGCACGATAAACTGGTGCCAAAGTAATCTCAGTATGCAGGACCAGGATATAACAAGCTATCTCTAAAACTAGATTGAAACTTCTTTATACATTTATAGTAAATAAACATGTGTAAAGGTTTGATTACCTCCATTCACGCTGTAAAAGTCATCCTCGCAGTCAGAATCTAACCAAGCTCGAGATTCGAAGAACACTTCATCCTTGCTACCTGCAAATTAAGCTCCATATAAGTTCTTCATGAAAATAATAGTCTTTG